CCCAAATCCACAGAATTATTTGCTACTTTCAGACTCCCTATGACATCCATTTTAGGCAGCAGCAAGCGCTGGGAGGCTTCATATTATCCCAGCATTAACCAGAAGTAATATACCAGCCCCTCCAGGCAGGAACAGATTTTAGAATGAGGATAATGGAGGTGTCTGGAGACTCACCTGAATGGCTCACTGCAAGAAATGGGAAGCAACAGGCACTCTCTAGCAAATTTATGCACTGCAGTCTAAGATTTTTCTGTTAGAGGTTATCCAAGAGAATGCAGAATGATCATAGCCCCCTCAGTTTATCAATCACACTAACCCTATTGGTGCAGATGCCCTGGACAGTTAAGCTGGACTCATGTGCCACATCGCTATCTCTGGTACAGTGCCAACAGCCTCTAGGGCAAGATGGGCAATGGATGGGGATAACGTCTTAGACCATAACAATTAAATTCACCTATGGATGACTCAAAGTCAGCTTCATTTTTTTCTAAACCATCTTAACATGAATATAAAAAAAAAGCAATTAAAATTATTCAATTTCTAGGTCCAAAATATTAAATAAAGTAATTTCTTAAGAGTTGATCTGAATACTGAAAATACATAAAAAATTACTTACCAAATGACATCACTCCAATAGCTTGTACTGCATTTGATTTTGCAAATATCCATGCATTTTCTGATTTTGGTCTAAAACAGACATTTGTTTTAATAGATTACACTCTTTTCAACTATCAGTTATTAAAAATAATTTTACATACTATGCTGTAAGACAGAAGTGCTAGTCAGATCTCCAGCGTTCTCTGAAGTAGGCCAGATTGTTCATCAATAATAAGTTGAAATCAGGGAGATACTCTTCTCACTTCCCTGTTTTGATTAAAGTATTTCTGTAACCAGTTTTCACAGCCAAAAATGTCAGCCTGTTTCAGTGACCAGTTTTGTAAGTAAATTCTTATCATATACCAAGTTATCATATACCAAGAAACAGCAACAGCGAAGGTAAAAGCTGTTACTGCTTCTGACTAAGGTTATCTCAACGCAAAACCTCTACTGATTAGAGGCAATTTCTTCCTTTGAATTTGCACATGAAATCCATGAAGTCTACAGACACTTTTTTCCTAGGCTACAAATGTGGTTAGGCAGTTTGCCTTTCCTTACACCTGAATTAAGGGATTCTGTTAGTTCCCAAAGGAGTGGTAAAATAAAGTGTAAAAGAGTATATGGAAACTTTCATAATCAGCCAAGAATGTAACATCCTTCACAACCGCTTTTCTAAGATATGCCCACAATTTTGGGCCTGTGGTAATTATAAGTCTTAGAGAAGGACTACAGAAAACTATCAGCAATCTTTACAAAGTTCAGGCGTCAAATGGATTTTATCTCTGAATAAAGAGCAAAAATGAAGGAAAAGGGAAGGACACAAAACACCCTTTGCCACAAACACAATTTGCTAAAAGTATAAAATTAAATTCACAAGTAAGTTTAACATTATATTTGTAATATTACAGCAAGACAAAGCAACAGTACAGAGCTTGCTCTTAAACAGTTGGCTGCTGCTAACTTTGATTGCTCTGTTTTTATTTAGAGGGAAAGGTGCTGCCTCCTGAAGCCTTAGGTGCTGTTTTCCTACTGCCCTAGAAAGCAGCATGACACTCACACCAGTTTTGAAGGTAACAGTGGCGGCTTTGTCTCCTTCTACCTGGTGATAACTAGCTGGTTTTGACAGCCAGAGGCATATGCTATGCTAGCTTTCATTGCTTTCAGATGTTTAAACCACCCCCATCTGCTAAAAAGAAAAAAAAGACAAAAAGGATGTTGCTGTTTCCCCTTTCAGAACTCATATCTTATTATTTCTTGAGAGTTCAAATAGTCGTTCCTTCCTTTTCCATATTAAAAGACAGATCTACAGTATCTAATGCGCATTCAGTTCAGTTCAGCCCTTAAGCTGTGGTTATTAAGCTTCACTTTGAGTGAATAGAACCTGAACACCAAAATCATGTTCAGTTCTTTGTCCTCAGATGCAGTACATTTAACATACTGCCTCTAGTCTTAAGCAGCTGAATACGGCCCTCCTGAAACATTCTCAGACTCAGCATGTAAATGAATAAATACCATGGATGAAATAGAGCTATCTGGCATGTGTCTTGTGAAATAGGAGTCCCAACCCACTATAGCTGCTGTAGTTCCATATATAGAGTAGCCTCCCTTAATTGATGCTGCTGATTTCATATCGCTGGAGATGTCTGTAGACAATTCACACTCATAACTTGGAACTTATTATTTTTCAGGAAAACACATTTGATTGGAAAAAAACCCGATAATATTCCAAAATAAATATAGACTACAGAAAGCTGACATTACAACTGTTCCGTTCTGTAGCCACTAGAGGTCAGCTTTGATAGCAAATACACGGAAGGAAAAGTGGGTTTACATTATCCTTTGACAACAGATTTTATTAAAGTCTCCATACCCCCTTTTCTTAGATTATCCAATATCTTATAAACCAAAATATTTTTTAAATATACAGAAATAAAGAATGTTTTTGTCTGAAACACGTTTAATTTCTGTGGAAATGGTATATCCTGTGCAACATATAGCTATGTTGTAAGCTCCTATAAATAGGGATTTTAAAAGCGGAATGTAGAAAGGATGTGAATTTCAGGTGAAACATTTTGAGTAAAGTGGCAGAATAATCAATTAAAAAAGAAAGGAGCTAGTTTTCCCCCTGTACAGTGTTAGCTTATGTACCAGCAATACGAAACAGACCAAAATATAGCTTTGCTTTATGGATGAACATCAAATCAGATTAGGAGTATTATTTGGGGGGAAAAAATCCAAAAGAACAAAATCCTGCTTATTTAGCAGCATAAGAAGATAAACGCCTTCTGTTGTAGTTGCGGAGCACTGGGAGAATTTCTGATCCATGATTTGAATGCTAGCAGCAGAATGCAACGTTATACAATGCACAGTACATGACATACGCAACAGTATATGGCTATTCCTTACAGTAAGTCATATACTGCTGCACGTGTTCTGAAAAACATTTTCATACCTCGGGAACAGAGGGATCTCACACAGATGTGATACGTAAACTAAGACATGAAAGCAACACAGTAAGAAATTTAATTTCTGAGCTTTTAGAGCTAGGAGTCAACAGCTCTAGGGTTCTGACTATATCAACAAAAAATCACCCCCGAGTCCAGCCTGCAGGACACATAGACTTATGCAAAGCCCCTGGAAAAGGGTGCAGGTGACATGAAAGTGTCCATATAAATAAGACTTCAGACTAGGAAAGAGAAAATTATGTCAGGAAACAGCAGGTCTTAGCGACGGAAGAGCCATACAGTTTTGTTTTTTTGAAAAGGACTCTTGTTCTGACCAGTTTGACCTACATTCTTCTTAGGAATTGTTAGAGGAAGATTTTAACTTCTGCTCCTACCAGAATGGCAGTAGCTGGGAATATCCATGAAGGCCAAAACAAGCTAGCTCACTGCTCCTCACTCAGCATATAAAAACACAGGCTGTGCCTGCAAGGACACAAAGTTCTTTCATGCTGGAGAAGAAGGAGTGAGATGAAACACAATGGAAGTTGGCAGAACAAATAAATTTGTGATACTAAATTCATTTGTTGAGACCCGTACTGTCTATCCTATATACTAGAAGTTGTAACACAAATTAAGTAACGGTGATTCTTGGAATAAAAATAATAGAAGATCAAAGAAAGACATTCCAAGGGAGATCTCAGACAGGAAACTCTCAGCTGAAAGTAAGACAAGAGCGAGATAGACTGACAATTAGATCTGTCCACAAGAAGATAGTGAGGCCTAGGGATGAAGAAAATCTAGCCATTAAGAAAATAAGACTCCAGCCAGTCTTCAGTGTACTTAAGGGTAGGTATAGCATAACAAATATGCCAGTGAGTTCTAACGGGTTTTGAAAATATTTGTGTTTTATCTGATTTGTGTTATCAAAGAACAAATGAAACTGGCAAAAGTTAAGACCTCCTAACAGGGTAAAAGGCATTTTACATCCAGATCATAAGTAAGAGTTGGACAAATATGTTAGGCAATCTGAAACAGCATATTCTCTCTTAAGATCAAATATGGACAGCAAATACATACAAATCTAATACAGCAGCAGAGTCTATGCGAAGCAAAATATCTTTAAGGAGGACAAGAGAAACATACATCCCTGACCTCAACCCAGCTTGCAGGTATGAAACACTCACTAAAAGATAATTTCTAGAGGAAGCAAAGTCAGATGTTTGAGAGGGAAGCTACATGTTGGATGAGCAAAAGACTTCCATTGTTTTGGATTGAAAATCAGTGACAAATGACCAACTTTAGGTGCAAACCATCAGTTACCAAAATAATCCAGGAACACACAGCAGATTAAATGAGGTTTAATTCAATGACGTAGATGTTTAGGAAACTAATTGTAAAATTTCAATTCTATACCAAGATAAAATAACTTTTTAAACTTTTAGAGTTTAAACAAAAACTAAAGATACCAATGAAGTTTATATATGCTGAATAATAACTTCAATAAATGTAATGGAAGGAAAATGAGTAATGCTCACACTGGCCTTGAATTTTGTACTGATCAAAGTCATCTTGGTTGTCAATGAACACAGACAAGGCAAAGGTATATGTCATCCCCACTTAGTTACTTTTGCTTTAACTCCTCTTTCTTCCCTAATGAACTACTCAGCAGTTCTGTAAATACACGGTAGCTTAGGCTTTAATTTTTAGTTTCATCAAGCATTAAAGTTTATCTTTGCTTACTATTGGATTATTTATAAGAAGGAAAGAATCAACTTTCAAGTTATACTCCGAAACACTTGTGTTTCATCCCTGTGATCAGCTGCCAGTTGAGTAATTCTCACATCCTATTTATGTGTGGCAGATGCTCTTGAAGTTCTTCCTAGAGATTTATGTATTATGCAGATACTGACATCATGACATTCTTTCCAGAAGAACACCAAATTAAAAAGATCCACCTTTATAAGCTACATAAAATATTGCTTTTTACAACAATGAATGTTAGTTTCAGCTTTGAAGCATGAAGTTATTTTATGCAGTATTAACATACTGCACATTTACAGTTTGAGATAATTCCAACTCATTGTTTTTGATCAGAGGAGAAAAATACCCAGCTACAAGCAGGTGGAAATAAAGTCAAGAATGGATCATCAAAGTGTATTTTTAGCCAACATCTTAAAATACTGAGAGTAAAATCTGGGTCCAGAACACTCGATTTTATCTTCATGGTTCATTATGCTCTTCAGGCAACAATAATCATATGGATAGTATTAATCAAAAGCAAAACAGGAAAAAAAATAGGTACCTCAGTTTCATATTTATCATAAGAGGAAATAAATTAATCAAATAATCCCTCATAATAAATGCATTATTTTTCTCCCCCGAGAGCTAACAAGAAAATAACATACCTATAAATGTCCCTGCACAACCCGCTCCACTTCTAAAGCAACTTTAAAAAAAAAAAAAAAAGCAATACTACTCCTAACTGCTGTTCTTCAGCCTACAGTTTTGAGTGCATTAAATCATTAAAAAAAGTAACAATGTCATTTCGCTGATGGTCTAAGACACTGCAGAAGGTTTCTAGGAAAGATACTATTCTCTGTTGTCCAAATAATAGATAAAATTTTAAAGTTGAACATGAATTGCATTTAAGCAAAAAGAGTTTTATCATCCCTGGATAATCTTCTTGTACTTCTCAAAGGGAAGCAGTCTTCACTTTGGAAAATCTAAAGGTAAGTGAAAAATTATTACGACATAGAGAGAGATTATCAAAGTGGGAAGATATCTGAATGGAATTACAGTGGAACCTGAGTCTAGCACTTCTGAATGTATGCAGCAGTACCTTGAATGATGGAAGAAAAAGTAAGAAGCATCCCTAACACAAAGCATGACGTGTGCAGCTAACACAAGCAAGCTAGATAACAGGGTGAAAAAAGAAAAATCATAAATATGTTGGTAAAAGGAGAAAACCTCTGATAAAGAAATATTCAATTCTGTAATAACAAATTCTACAGTTATGCAGAGGAATAAAGGCTTCACAAGAACAAGGCAGGGAAGGACAAGCAAAACATACCCCAAACTTCATCAGAACAGAGTAAAAGAAAGGAAAAATTGCTAGCTCACAGTTCTGCAGAGAAGGTTTTGGTGTGTCTATTAGACTGCAAACTCAAGGCACATCCACAATGTCATGCTGTTTTCCAAAGAGGTAAACATCAAATGAGGTTACATAAACAGGAGCATGGCAAAAAAAAAGATACAGTCAAAAGGGACCTCAAGAAGAGAAACACTAAAAGGAATCGTGTTTAGTCTATAGCAAAGATACAGTCGAAAGGGGGACAAGTTACAGCTCTTCACAGGTGTCTTTTAAGCATTTGAAAAAGCATTAACAGTTTTCTGTCCATATCCACTGTGGTTAGGCCAAGAAGCAGCCACCATGAAATGCAGCAAGAGGGACGTATGATGCCTATTCAGGAAGAATTCACAAAAAAAGAGCAGTTAAAAACTGGGATTGGAAATCATGGAATTGCCAAGAACAAACTAAACAATCAGCTGTCATCAATGACAGGCATACAGTCAGTTCTGCTGTGTAACAACGGTAGGGAGTAAATATTCTCCTTAGGCCACATGAAGCCTTTATCTAGGATCATACAAATTCTTTTCTTATATGACAGATCTGAGGACTATGTTTCATAATCATGGTTTTTTAAAATACCTTTGAAAACTCCAACTTCTACTGTATTTTAATAAGGATTCACAATATATGCATTATTTACTTGTTTCACTTGCTACAATACTACGATGGGGCCCATATTAAAATGGTGTTCTTGATTTTCATTGCAAAAATAAGAGATGGCATACTGTTAACGAAACATTAGAAGAGGGCTTTAATAATTAAAGTACATGTCTATAACTGTAAAATACATATAGTAAAAATAGACATTGATAGAACGTTTGTGAGGCAAAAAATTCCAATTAACAGTTTGTCAACTTCTTAGACACATTTTTGAAAACCTAATGTGTAAAAGCAAAAATGGCAGTCTCTAATATATTAAAAAGTAAAACTTCAAGCATCACTTAAAATCCAACATTATTATTGTAAGCAAAATATAAAAGCATGCATTCCATATTTTTCAGTGCATCACAATTGTTGAGGAGAAATGTTACCATAGTAACAAGGTCATCAGTAACCATTATATATAGCTTCTTCCTTTTTTGACAGGGGATTTTGAGATCACCCTTTCAAATACCTCTTTAACACACAGGATGAAAAACATGCTGTTTCAGAAAGATGGATGGGGGGGTGGCGCAGAAGTCCCACACTGTTCTAAGTGCATTATTTTATAGATGATAGACAACATCATCTGGTACAACCTTAGAAACTGCTATTCCAGCCATCTTCCTAGCATTAAACATGAATGCCCTGCAATTAACCCACGTATCACAGCAGTAAGATAAATGAACAAGTAGCATATAAAGTATGTTTTAGCAGTTGATTTTGTATGACTGCTAATACAGATTTGTTTTTTCAATTATCTGTCTCTCCCAAAACAGCCATGTTCCAAAACTATGCAGAAATATGTAATATTGAAATAACAGATTATGTATGAATAAAAACTCACTTTCTGGCAAGTGTAAGAATACTCACACTTGTGGACTGAATGTTACTGTTCTCACCATCACAATAATCAGGATGACAATGGTTAAAATCAGAGAAATAAGAGATACCTGTAAAGGTAAAAACAAAAATTCAGTCAGTTAGCAGCATAACGTACCTTTTTCTTTTTTTTGAGAATAATTAAGGAGCAAGTAAAGCTCTAAATATCACGTCAACCATTTGTAACATAAAGCTTGCTCTATATCACCATTTTTAAATTTGTTATTCGTTGAGTAGTCAGCCATCTGCAACTATTTGTCTAATTTTAAGTGATGCTCCATTTAATCTAATCAACAGTGCTCAGCATTTCAAGATCAGTCCTATATCACTCAGTGCTTTACAAGATTTGCGTTCTACTAGCAGCAGATGAAAAAATTCCAGAGATTCCTACAGAGACCAAAGTTTTGCTTAAACAATTCCAATTTTTCCAGTATTTTTTGGGACAGAAGACAGTCTGAAATTCTCAAATATTTAACATGCTCTAGCCAGATGTAACTGAGTTCATTAAGCTATGACTGGCACTTGTTTTCAAATGGCATACCAAAAAGTAAACCAAAAATCAACTGCTATTATGATTTACCTTTCCCAGTTTTGCTATGTCTCGATATAAAGATATAGGCAGGGTAAAGATGATGGTGGTAAGAAGGATTATGAAGTGACGATCAATAAGCACGTTATCTGGTCCAACTAAAGCAAAAAAAGAAAATAATTTATTTCTCCAAGAGAGTGACATAAGGAACAGATTAGTTACACCTGAAAGGCTAGGAGTAACAAACTCTGACATTGACCAGGCTTTTATCCCCTTTATTCAAGCTACCTAACACTGAAAGAAAGACCAGGCATTAACTAACCTTGAGGAAGCCGTACAGAGCATGTGCATAATCAAAAGAATTCTACAGATTCAAACCAAATGCACACCATATGGGATACATTATAACAAATGCTGGAAGTCTGGCTTTTCTCCATATAGACTAGTATTAATTTCTTTCATCGTGTCTGGGTCAATGTTGGCAGACTGCAAGTAAGACATTCTACTAGTTCTGCCATTTACTCTCAAGATTTTTTTGACAGTGTGTGCTGACATCAATTACTGTGCTGATGAAGATAAGCAAATTCTTAAAGAATGATCCTAAAACATGTTAATTTTGAGGTTTCTTTTGAGCACCTCCTTTCTTGCTGTCAGCTGGCTTCCACCTGCAAAATACAGATTACTACGTGAAGGCAACAACAGAGTTATAATATTTCCTGCAATCAGTGGGATTTATTTGTACAACTATTGGTTTTTATAAGCCAATGAGAACTTAAAATAAAACATATCTCACCTTCAGTAAGGCTACTATGAATCATGGGCTTGAATGAAAGCTTGCTGCATAAGTACGGCTGGAAAGTGACTGTCAACTGACATAGGAAGTTTGGGTTCAGTTCCCTCTATTCTTTGGGAGATTATAATGCTTTCCCATCTCTTTCTAAACATGCATCCTACCAGCCAGATAAAAAGATGTGCCGTGCTGGGGGTTCCTCCTATTACAGAAGTTGTATTGTACATACATTATTAGATATTCACTGTCACTATCAACATGATCAGGTATTCACAGACCAACAGAGTGAAACAGTTAAAACTGCATCCATATCTTGAAGGCTTCACCTGCTGAAATCTACAGTCCTTCTGTGGAAATCAAACAGTTTGTAGAAATGCTAATTTCCAGTTCAACGCAGACAAGCTCTTTCAGTTTAATTTGCCAATGAAAAATGTTTTAACTTGGCTGGCTTTGTGCTAAAGGAGATGGCAGACATACACATGAACTGCCTCACTCTTCCTGCTGTGAAAACTTAGAGCAGGGGAAGGGTAACAAGTGCACGAGTTAAAAAGCTGAAAATGCACATTTGGTTTTGCACTGAATATCTGCGAGAACTGGAATTTTAATAGGCAGTTCATGACCAACCAGTACAGATATGCTTAGAGTAAGCAGTAAATCCATTATATTATTTGGAGGTTATCCAGAATTATTCACTAGATAAAGTGCAGTTTCAGTATTCAAATGATTTTCACAGGAAATACCTAAAGAAGACAACAAAATATGATGACCCTGAAACACACCACTGTGGAAGACTCCTTCTATTTGCTTAGTATTTCATTGAAGCATGCGGTGTCTTCACTGAGTCCACTGATAACTAAGGACTAGGATGCATAGTTTTTATCTGAGAAAGATTTACTCAAAACAAAACAAACCAAACCACCACAGAAACCCAAAAAACCCCACGCATAAAATTTGCTTCAAGTTCTTGTCTTGAACCGTATTTAAGAGTACTTTAGAAACAAAATAACAGGTAGGGCTTTGCTAATCGCTAAATACTTATGCTATGTTCCTACCCAATACGTTTTCCTCGTTCTGAATTTTTGTAATGGGTCTTACCTCCAGGAATTCTCTGAAAAACCTTAACTAAGGTGTCTCCTGTTATTATGTTGTAACTGATCATAGCTTAAAAGAAAATAAATTTTTTTGTTAGTACAAGTTAAATATTAAATATTTGATAAACATTTAACACATTTTTTTAGACTTCAGAATTATATACCACTATCCCTTTTGTATGAATTCTAGCTAGAAACAACTACTTCTATGTTTCACGTTTAAAACAAATAAGAAAAAAAGCTCTTTAACGCTTCCCTTTATTTTATATATATGTATTTTTTTTTAACAGGTACAACCTAAGCAAGAATCCAGTCTGATAAGCATAGACATTGGGCCGATAGCCACATAAACTTACTTCAGAAGAAGAAAAAAAGACTTTTAAAAGTTGTTTGTTTCTAAAAGCGCTTCTTTGTCAGTTTATTTTCAAAATCTTGTTTCTATTTAGCGAAGTTTATGTTTTAGTATAATAATCAGGCCTGCATGGGACTTCCTGTCTTATTAAAAAGCTAGCAAAATCTTTAAATCAGGAGAAAGGAGAAAATCAGTGAAGATATCAGAAAATACACACTGCTCTTTAATACAAACCGTGACCTTAACATTTGTATTTCATTATCTTATCGTACACTACAAGCGTGTATACATGTGCACATGGCTGTATACAAACACACAAAATATGTTTATATACTCATGTGGTCTTCACCACTTGGACAGCATACATATAGGTATTCACCTTAGCTATTGCAGAAATATTTACTTTTGTGAACTTGTAAGACATTTAACACCACTTACAGGAATGAATTCAAGCACATACCTATGCATAACTAGTTCCATGGTAACGACCGAGATCTTTACAGTTCTTTTCCATATTCTCTATGAAGTAGTAATTATACTCTTTTTTAATTCAACATGTGTAACATTTTTGCCTGCAGTAACAGTAGTTAGAGTCCCTTACAAAATCTCAGGTATCTGTAATATATTCAGACTGATTATTCCCAAAGGAGGAATTTTGCTCTGGGATTCTGTGGTCACTGAGTCCAGACCCTTGGTATCTCAAGCTCTTGCAGCCCCATGTGTGAAAATATCAAGTTTATTTAAAATTTGATTTAATTATGTTACTGCTGTAGGGGACAGATTCAGAGTATCACTTTATTTTAAACTTATGGTCTAATTTATTCCTGCCCAGATTACACCTGCTTGTTCTTTTCCTATTTTTTCCTTCAAAGGAGTCTTGACCGCCCAATTTCCTAGTAGCTCATTGGGTATGAGGCTAACTTAACACTTTTGCAGAGCAATGCCAGCACATAATACTCACACAGGATCTGATCAGTGGCTTCTCCAATGACATACATCATCCTTGGAAAAAATATAAATTCAATATACTCCTACAGTAATATTTTCCTTTTGTTTCAGGCATATCAAACCTGTGCTCTGTAACAGATTCTAGAACAGAATGTCTCCTTCACTATTTCTCGTAACTACTTTGGTAATTAATTTTTAAGTTTATGATCATGAATTTCTCTGCTATTAAGTTTCAGTTCACTTGTATTATTCTGTTCCTCCAACTCACTGAATTCTTCCTCAGCCATTCTTCAGAACACACCAAATAATTTTGATAGTTTTACAAGAAAGAGTCATACACAGCACATTCTTTAAAAAGTTCTTAATATTTAACCAATGAAACAATGAGTTAATGTGAAAAAGCTTGTTATTTATAAAACTTAAACATGTGTATTTGATGTGATCTTACCAATAAATGGATATAAAAATTGCAGAGTTGAAAGAATTAGATAACCTACAAGACCATATGTTTTTCTGACCAGCTCTTGATAGGTGTTGGTGGCAGATAGGTTTCCTCCTTTGATCAGTAATATAATGGAATAATCTGTTAAAATACAAAATTACTGTTAAAAAAACAGTGTGAACCAACTTGTGGCTGGTTACTACTCATCTTTTTCACTCAAAAAAAAAAAAAAATGTCTGTACAAATGAAAACAGTGGCACTGGGAAAAGCAGGGATGAGAAATCTCAGAAAAGATCTCAGTCCATCAAAACCAGGAGTTATAGGCTCACATTACCTTTGGAAGGTAAATCCATTTTTTTTTTTGATAAATTATAATTAAATAAAATATTCAAAATCACAGTACAACCAAAGGTTTTCATTCTGTGGTATGTTTAAAAAAAGTGATATATAACCCACTCAAGGATCAGTCTCTTAATTAGGACAAACACAGTAGGCTAAAACTCTTGATTATGAGGCACAAATAAGAGCTATTCTTCCAAATGTCACCTTGACCTAGTCTAAGAAACTAGGCTTTATGAAGATAAAATGCACACAGAAAGCAGCTTTGTAAGTTTTATAGCATAATTCTTTACTTCTTCTAACCTGCTCAAGTGAGGTAAGAAAAAAATTTGTCATTTTTACTGTCATAGGCATATTTCTTTAAGATATAATTAAGCTCAAGATCAGCTAAAAGTTGCAAGACTAACTGTCACTTTACAATAGAAAATGCTTTTCGAGTACCTGTGATGTAGGCAACCCCAAATAAAAGCAGTACTCCTAGCGGAAAACCAGCTTCCTTCATTGAATATGGTAATCCTGTAAATAAGAAAACTAGAGATTATAGAAGAACCTTTCCAAATACTTATTTGTGATGAGCAAAATAATGAAATATTCAGATTTATAAAACTGCTATCAATCTCCCAAAATGGGCCAGCATGCTTAATAACCTCAGAAAGATCATTTTTAGTGGACAAGGTGTTTCCCCTGTGTGAAGCTCAGTCAGCACCTGCCCAACCAGTTCTCTCTGATCATTATGGAAAAGAGGCTGTAGGGTATTTAACACTGTGAGACGTGATCTCAGCCAACACCTCTGCATTTCTGCATAGTAAGAAAACAAAAATAGAGAAAAATCTTTAGGAACAGAAGCAGAAAGTAAGACAACAGTGTTATTCTCCTGACTGGATAGTCACACATGTACAAACAAGGCTGAAGTGAAGAAAAGTATACTTACCTATAATGCCTGATCCTATGATAGAGTTGATAATGTTAAATCCAGCTGATGCCAGATTACTGTTTCCTCCTTTATTCCTGGGCTTACTAATGAGGGCTATTTGGTCATCTGTTTCTACCTATTTCAGGAAGACAATAACAACATTGTACATGAGAAAAATAGGTGATAAGAAGGAATTTACACCTAGTCCATTCAAGATAAAAAACTGTCATAGACTCAGATTTGTAGTGGTATTTGGCTAAATCCAATTTTTTTCAGTGAGAAATCAAAGGAGCGTTAGGCATCTAATTCCTTTGTAAGTCTGACACATAATCTTCTGTAATTAATTCTTCTCTGAAAAAAAAAAAAAGGGGGGGGGAAGGACATAAATGTATAAAAACTCAGAGCTAGGCTGTTAAACAAAGAGCTTTTTAGTCGTGTTCCAAAGACAGAAACACAAATCCAGTATTTTTGAAAATATTTTGTCTAATAGGACTGGCCAGTAAAATTAGGCCCCTGAATCAGAAATGAAACCAATTTCAGGAGTTACTAGTGAAGTATGCCACATATGAAGATGCTCTAGTTCAAGGTTTTATCCAGCATTTTAAATATTTCTGTGTCATACAATGGTTTAGTTCATTATAAACATTTAACAACACTACAAAATTGGTTAGTCCCAGAAAGTTTCTGTAGGAAGGTCTGATACAAACTAAAGTTCAAAGTTTATAGCTAGTGGCTTCAAGAATTAAAGTTCTTATCTTCAAAAAGCATTTCTTCAAGCATGCAGTGGTCTTCTCCTCAGATCACCTTCTGCTGTCAGAGAACGTTTTAGAATCACTCATTAGAAGGCCAGTGTTTTAAACAAAGTCATGTAATTCAAAAGAGGAACATGCATTTAATGAAGAAAATGCCTGCCTGCGTTCCACAAATGCAAAACATTGTGTACTTACCATGAAAATAAAACTATTATGTCATGGATGCAGGAGCCTATTTAACATACCTAGCAGGTAGTGATAACTCAGATGCTTGTCACTAATACTCCTAGAAAAAGAATTAAATGATTGATAAATCTATGTCATCTGTAGATGGTGGTATAAGCTGACAAGCATAAGAGTGCCTCAAGGAGGGCTACATATTTCAGTGGAACCTTTAATCCTTAAGCAGTACTAGTATAAGAAGAGTAATACTGGCTCAGATCAAAGGTCAGTATAGCCTGGTATCTCATTTCTGAAAGTGGCCAAGGAAGGCATCTAGGGAAGCATGTAAGAACCTGAAAAATAGACAGCAAATAACTTTTCTGTCCCAGCTTTCATCAGTTTGCATATCCTGACTTTCCAAAGCAGGTATGTTCTTGGTGCATCACATCCCTTAATAGACTGCTCCTTGAATTTTCCCTTTTTTTGAACTCACATACATTTTTTAGCATCTGCAATGTCATGTAATAATGAATGATACATCTTCATTGTACATCATATGAAGAAACAAGTTCACAAACACTACTCTGAACCTACCATTTAATATTTCCCATATTTACCATTGCTCTGAATCTACCATTAAATATTTCCACTTGGTGTCCCAAAAATTTCTGTATCCTCATAGACAAACCAACCACATATTTCCTACTTACCTTCTCCATATCATATGCAGTTTTATAAGTAGCATTCTCAGCTGTTTCTCATCTAGACTTACAGGTGATACATTTTGTTTCACCACTGACTTGAGCAGAAGCATCACTGTCATTCTCTCACAAAATTTTAATGCTCTCTGCTACTTAGAGCACAGTACATGTCAAGTTGCACTGATGTAGAGCAGTCCAGTTCCCCCTATTCATTTGTTACAAGAAAATGAACACAATATACACTGTGCAGTTCATACACTCTGTCATGAAGCCTGGTCCCTTCCTCACTTGGAAAAGACACATCAGAATTGGCAAAAAGGACAAGAAAGGGCAAGAGAAGTTGTGACACAGGTGAAATGGCTCCTGTGTGAAGACTAGCACCCTTGGAAGTGCACTGGACCCCAGATCGGGGGGAATGCCTGCCGGGAGGAGTAAAAAAAAGATATGCAATGTGGAAGGCTGTGGAAGATGTGACTGGGATGCGTTGTACTGTCATAGGGAGGACAGCTGCAGGTCATGAGACAGCCGGGGCCTTCCATTACCCTAGAGACAGCGGCAGACCCACCAGGAGATAGGGTGCTCACGTTCTGGTCCTCAGGCGAGACTTATTATTAGCTGTGCCAAAACGCCCGGTTCCCCTGCCTCACAAGAATTACACCCCTCAGACTGCACTTTTTTAATTACGTGGTACCTATGAGATTTTCTTCCTCGTGCGAGTTAGGAGGAAACAGAACAGAGATGAAAGAGCCCAAGCTGCTGCCAGCTGCTCAGCACAGCCAGGGAGCAGGGCTGAGGCACCGACCAGCCCGAGACGCTTCAGGCAGTTGGTCGCTATAAAGCCCACCAACCTGGGCTCGCACCCCTCCTCCTCCCGCCGTCCCGCAACGACGGGCTGAGGAGAGTAAAGAGAAATCAGGGTTGTGCCGGCGGGCTTGTCGAGCC